AGTAAGGTATGGCATGACGGCATGGTGAACTTAAGCGACAGACCCTAACATGAAAGTTATGAAATGCGTGTTATGTAACAGCATGACTACATGCCACGCTAATGATGCGCTCGAGGCCATTTCGCTAGCGTCACGTATACAAAATTCGGTATTATGGTACGTCAATGAATGACGAAGGTATGTGACTGGTGCAAACATGACAATCATGAAATGCATGTCATGTACCAGTATCACGCCATGCCATGCTCATGATGCACTGGCAGCTGTTTCGCTTGCTTCACATATACCCAATTTGGTATTATGGTACGTCAATGAATGACGAAGGTATGTGACTGGTGCAAACATGACAATCATGAAATGCATGTCATGTACCAGTATCACGCCATGCCACGCTCATGATGCACTGGCAGCTGTTTCGCTTGCTTCACTTATACCCAATTTGGTATTACGGGACGTGAATGGATGACGAAGGTATGATACTGGTGCAAACATGGTAAACAAGAGATGTGTGTCATGTAACAACTTGAATACATGTTACACTCATCAAGCGCTCGTGAGCATCTCGCATTGCTTCCCATGTACCAAACTCAGTATCACGCTACGCGAACGGACGACACTGGTAAATGACACATCCAAACATGATAATCACGACATGCGTGTCAAGTACCAAGATGACTACATGCCACACTGATAATGCGCTAGCGGCCGTTTCGATAGCTTCCCATTAGCCAAATTTGGTATTACGTGACGCCAAGGGATGATGAACGTATGTGACTGGTGCAAACATGATACTCATGAGATGCGTGTCATGTGAGAACATGAACACATGTCACCGTCAAGGCACCAATGCATTTCGACGTTTCGCGATGTGCGTGCTCACTGGCATCCAATTCGTCGCGTCACGCCGGCGTTGTCACGGTAGGCGCCGGTCCTGCCATATACTCACAGGCACACGCCCCACTGCGTTGCTCTGATGCATGCACTCTTCATCGCGTCCGGCGTCCCTTCATCACGAAAAGTGTGAGACGCAATGTTGAAGCGATGGGAGGGAGCCAAAGATGCGAACCGAGTACGTGAAAGCATAGAGTCTCCTAAATATATGCAAGAGGAAACTCTGGCGCTAGATTTTATGAAAGCTGCAGTGGAAAACGCTTCAGCGAGCACGGAAATTATGGGTAGTATATCAGTTTGTCTAGTCTTCGTACTGCTGACTTCGTGTGTGTGTGTGTGTGTGTGTGTGCGTGTTTTCTCGCGAAATAAAAATAGCCAAATATACAGTGGTTTCGCTTCACCACTTTAATCTTTTAGGCCTATCATTTCAAATCGGGTCACGACGTTCAAAAGCGATCGTTCTTTGCTTCAAAACAGAACGAAAACACAGCAATAAACATAGCCAAAAGTACGATTCATAGCACACAAGTATGAAGACTAGGCAAATCTGTGTGCTACCCATCATTCCCGTGGCCACTGAATGATCACCAGAGCCTCCCTTCAGTTCGTTATAGAAAATCTGTGCGTGAAAGGACAGAGTATTAGATAACGGCATAGGCACCGGTGGCTGCGATAACATCCCAAAGCGATGGAAAGCCTTCGCTCATACGAAGTGCTCTTAGATTTATGAGAAGTGTGAATTGTCTGTCTCAGTGCGACCATCTGTCGCTGCAGTTTGGCCATGTGCGCGCCTTTGTGTCTGCATGAGGCTTACCTTGAACATCATCGCGCTTCACATCAACGTAATGATTTTAGTGATATGTGGAGTTTAACGTTCAAAAACATTTATATATTTATGAAAAACGCCGTAGCTGAGGACTTCGAGAATTCAGACTGCCTGAGGTTTTTTAACATGCACCCTAATCTGAGTACACGAACCCACAGCATTTCCGCCACCACCGAAAATTCAGCCGCCGCAGGCGGGCTTCGAACCCCCTACATGCAGGTCTGCAAGAGAATAGCTTAGTCACTAGACCACCGCAGCGGGGCTTTGAATCGACGTAGAAACAAGCAAGGATCATCAAGGTAAAGTTCACGAACGAAGTAAGACAATTGTAGAAACAAATCTGCATCACCAAGCTGATGCGTAGACAGAACCTGACGCAATTTGCCGCCGTGACAACAGCTGCCGTGCTTGAATAGGGCACCCATCATTTAGCTGCGCAGAATCACGGAAAAAGCATAACAGCACTATTATAGCACTAGGAATACGGCAAAGCGTGGTGCTTGAATACAGTGCACATCGTTTTATACTTCTCTTAATATAGCGATGCTTGCTCTTAATCTTCGCTGCATAATTTCGTCACGCGTGTTGAGCATAAATAATTTTGTTATAACGTGACTTTCTGTAGAGCATTTGAGTAGTTACTTGCAATTTTGTACGCGTGTTTTACCAGCACATACTCTGCATTTATTATTTTTGCCCGAATCGTTAATCATGACGTACCTGGCGAGTACGGTGCAATAATGATGTCGCAAATAAACTAATGGTTACCATGTATGAGTCTGACATGCTTCCCTATTTATCTTGGAATAAAAACAGCACATGCCTACAAAGAGATGATGTTGTGTGGATGAAACATTGAATAGTTCAGTGTTACCCTAAATCACACCTGGCATTAACCACTGACGCAGACAAACGAGTGGCAAAGTGGGGTACAGTTACACAGAATGTTTACTACTCGTTAACTGTCTGTTCTGGTGGGCCGTAAATTCAGTTTTGCCTTCCTTATAACAGCTTGTTGGTATAAAATGAAGCCTGAAGTTGGCAAAAAGGAGGTATGGGCCGCTTACCCTGGTGGTTGTCAGTGTTTTCTAGACATAAAAAATACATCATAGAGCACAAAGAGACGCCATATACTACTGAAGCCGGCTGTTGTCCGTAATGATCATCTTCATCATCATCAGTGGCATCATAATTGTCATCACGACTACCGCGAATGCCGCCAACGCACAAGTCTTGATTAAGGAGCTTCGCCCGTAATATAGCGTGACAATAAAAGAGGACGAGAAGAGGCATGACCGACTACAGGAAAGAAACAAACAGAATGAATATTATGTGAACAAATAAAAAACAGAAAACCATCGCCGATTCACTAGGTGACAAATGTAGAAACGACACTGCATATTGCTAATGAGATTTGAACTTGACGCGAACTACTTATGAGGTACTATACCCCTGCATCTGATAATGGGAACGAAGGCTCACTGACACATTTTTCATGTAAAACGCCTCCGCGCCTTTCCGTGTGCGCTGTCCTTGGTGTAAATGCAACGTTTTCTTCAATTAAAACATAATTTACGTGCATGGTTGCGACAATGAATGGCCAAATGCGATCCTTTGCCACTTTTAACATTTTTTGTATGCTCCTGGAATTTGATTCATTGCGTTATCACAAGTGCTGACAAAAAAGTCACGAGGATCGTAAATCTGTTGTCGAAGGAAGCAGTATATGGTAACCAGAGTACTTCTAGAAATAATGTAGCAGTGAGTCTTTATGTGCGTAGTCTGCCGCTCAGAATGAAAAAAGTTGTGGCTGGTGGGTAGCAAGCTGATGTCCTACTTATTGTTCGCTACAAGTTACTGAATGTATGTTCAGCTATGCTTAGGAAGCTAAACGAAGAAAATGATAGAAAGCTGCAAGGCACACAGTAAAACACAGAAAAAACTCTTTTGATTGTCGAACTAATGCAGAATATCAAAGTCAATGCTCTCGAAATATGTTTCAAATTGAGCAAACTAGTCTGTGCGCAAATATTGAAGTCCAAGAGCATGAGCAATACGTTACAATTGGCGCAGGGTCTCATTTTCACTTCATCGTAAAAACAAAACTCAACCTTGGGCTAGTTGGTGATTTTGGAATGGACATATTCGCACGGTGGAAGAAAACGAGGTTGCAGAGAGGACACAACACTGGTACCCTAAACACCACAAGGCTTGTGCGGAACACCCGGCATAGTCACAGGAAAAGCTTGAAAAGCGGCCATTAGGAGCCTTTGTTAAACACTCTTTGGGTAATTTTTGTAGGGTATACTCACATAAATCATTACGATTTTCCTTTAATTCGAAGGCATTCACTATGTCGTCTTTCGCCTTTCTGAGCTGGCAACAATTATTGCTACCTGCCGAGTTGCTTAGCGCCTGTGTTTTGTCCTGTCTACGTCATAGTTTTTTTTTTTGCAGTCTGCAAAAATCTAATTGTCGAAAACGTGCATCAAACACGTGGTATAATAGAACAGAAATTTTGCAATGCTGAAGGCTTGTGCAGATAGGAACTCAAGGACGCGTTTTCCATGTCACTTGAAGGTCAATACTGCAATCAGACTTCAGTGGCATTGTCATCTGCTTGAGCATCACACCTCATTGATAGCTTGGGACTCGTTCATGTTCAATCGGCCACGAAGAGCGTAATAGCTACTTTCTCAACTTGTGCATACGAGATGGTTCTTTGTTTTCTTCTTTTTCTCTATATGTTATTGTTCTGCTTCGTTTTGGACTGTAGTCTGTCGTTCTTCCCCTCGTCCTCGTTTTCTGCCAGGCTCTTATTGCCAACTTGCTGTGTTAACAGTTTTCATGTTTACCTTCTAGTACGAAACGTTTGCGTTGCCAACGGGGGGTGCTATACTGCTAGTTTTTGATGCCCAAAATGTCTCGATCCACGTGTCTAATGAAAATGAGAACAAGTAATGTCATATTGTGATTTCATTTGTGGCTTAATCTTTTGTATATTGAAGCTGTATAAAGCCTAGCATGTGCTTTATTGTGATATGTATCATGAACGTTCTTTAAAGCAGTTTTGTGCGGTGCTGTTTATAACACGTATTTGATCGTAAACGAATGGCGGCAGGAGAAGCAGAATTACAGCAAGAAAAACGCCAATGTCACTTAGTGGCTCAGCCACAAAAAACAATTAGTGATCCATAAATAAATGACAGCCGTTCTTTGTTCTCATTTTTCGGAGTTCAGAAATAACGTGATAACTCATATAGCACAAAAGGAGTCTCATTACTTGCTGCTTCCTTCAGATCTCCAATAGAGCAACCTGAAAATAAAAAAAAGTAAATTCATTATATCAGGCATCGGCTGTGGAGCAATGTTGTTTGAGTTTTCAAACAAATCTTCACTAAAAGTGTTCCACGTCATTGTGACATCAAATCCTATCATTTAGAACTTGCTGTGCACTCACTACATAATAATAACAGAATGTAGGCAGTAAAGTGTCGAACATCAGTAATGGCTGGCCGGCTTCAGTCCACGCAATTGCTGTGATAATCTTGTATTCATACGTCCAGTGACAATGCACGCTTGTACCACGCAATATTACTGCGAAGTTACATGTTGTATGGTGAAGCCTGTATACAGACGCGTGTGTTCGTAAAGCGTTATTGGAATGCATTTACAAGCAGAAGACAGTAAAATGAATCAACGCATTCTTTGTGAATCTATCTATCTATCTATCTATCTATCTATCTATCTATCTATCTATCTATCTATCTATCTATCTATCTATCTATCTATCTATCTATCTATCTATCTGTTTATCCCTCTATCTATATTTCTAGGTGCCCACGTTTTCGTGCTCTCCTGACTCTATCGTAAATCGCATTGATGCGAATATTCGTTGGGCATAACATGACTGTATAAAGGACACGAATGAGTGGTTCCATCCAGAAAATAATATAAATTACTTGTAATAAACCGCATGGTGTACACACCATACCGTTTCGTGGTGCTTTTACAGCCATTTCGTCAAATTCATATCTACCTAAAATTGTATGACCAGACATTTCTGCACCACTAACATAAAGAACACGGGATAATAAAAATTAGCGTTACTTGAATATCATGTATAGCATAACATATGCAAGGTATTTCAAGAAATATGTCCACTATTACACAAATATTACAGAAAAGGGTGCCTGCGGGCTGCCTGCAGTGTTTCTTTTACTATGGCAGAAGTCGTCTTCTGATCTGTACAAACAAGAAAAACAGTCGTGAATATAGAAATTATTAGAATGAACTTTCTCATCAGTGGAGAAAAAGCGGTCGAGTCAATTAGAGGAATCAAGTCCTTCCGGCCACTACCCACAGCGAATTTGAAATTTTTGAAAGCTTTCCACTGGTAACCAAAGTGTGGCTACGTAATCTGGGTAATTGTGTAGGTGAAACTGAAAACCACGCACGAGAGAGTGAATCTACCATTCTTTTCAATGACGCGCAATACCACCCTACATGACTACACTTTCTTCCTGGCTGTTGTAAACCGTACTTCGTTGTGTGGCAGCGCTTTGCTGTCGCATGGCCGCTTGTCCACGCTCCTAAATTCACTTCTTTTTTTGCGAGGAAAATAGTGTCGTCATGGAGGGTGTTAACGAAGTAAATGGCAGATGCGCTGTTTAGTGCACCAGTTTTGGTTTTGCCTGCTAGGCTAGCTGGATTTCATCCACCACCAACCCCTCCTTTACGTTGATCACCAAAGGGTGCCTATTGAAAATTCCAAAGTACCTACAGAATATCCACAGAAAGAACATGAATTCGCCCATTGGACTTTAGCGCTCAGTTAAACTGGTTAAAGTACTAATTTTGCGAGTTCTATAAATATTGCCGCAAATGGAGTTGGTATGCATTGGAAGATCTCTTCTTTCACAGCAGCGGCAATGTTGCAGATGGCACGCAGCTTAACTTTTTAGTAGTTTTTAATAGTAGCCGACACTATATTTGAAACAGCATGTACACCAGGCTCATCGTAAGTCCTTAAACGTACAAAATTCGCTAATGCGCCACGTGTATATTGAACTGAAATGACAAGTGGTGATATGAAAATTAGGAGAATAAGTTCATCTGAAACCTGACTTGCATGCCTCGTACCTATCGCGCTCACGGCCAGTTTGCTAGCTCAGTTTATCCCGAATTTCGCATTGCATGACGTCACGTATTGGCGATCATAAATGACAAATGACAAAGTGATAATGTTGACCTCGATTTCGTAGTCAACACAATTTAAATGTAACAATTATGATGTATATGCTTCCAGTTCACTAGCTCGATATACCCCAAATTTTATATTCGCGATGTGACTATATTGCAAGAATAAATGACCAGTGGAAGTACAAAAATCTCGAAGCGTCATGTAAGATGACTTGAATACCATGTGCATGCGGGCATTTCGCTAGCGCCACATACAGTGAATTGGGTGTCGCCTGATGGGTTTGCATGACGGACATAAAGGAAAATAGTAACCATGACATGCGGTGTCAGCGTGACTTGCATATTGTCATCGTGATGTGCTTGCGGCCAGATCGCCTGCATGATATGCGCTAAATTTGGTATTTCATAACGTACCTGTACAATGAACTTAACGACAAGTGGTGATATGAAAATCAAGACAATTGTAAACCATGACTTGCTTGCCACGATCAAGGTGCTCTCACGACTGTTTTGCCAGCTTCATATACACCACCTTCGGCGTTGCATGGTGTGATTATGACGAACGTAAATGGTAAGTGGTAACATAAAGATAATCACATGTCATGTCAGAATTACTTGCATACCACGCTCATGGTGCGCTTGTGGCGAGTTCTCTCATGTGATGCACGCCAAAATTTGTATTGTGTGCCTTTTCTCTATAACGAACACAAATGGCCAGTCTCATTCGGTATATCATGGCGTCGATGTGATGTAGAACATTACTCAGACGCCAACTTCGCAGTACACTCGCGGCTGTTTCACTAGCCTAATATACACAATAGTTGGCATTGCATGAAGTAAATGTATGACAGAGTATACGACAGGGAGAGCATGAAATTATGACATGCATGATATACGTGATATCATACCAAAAGTGCAATCACTTTGGGTGTACCCCAAGGAAGCGTTTTAGGACCAATAATGTTCCCAATATAACGAAACAACATAAATGAAAACAATAAATCACCTATAAAATTATTTGCTGACGATTGTATCATATAGAGAGACATCGCGACTGCAGCTCATACACTTTGCAGAGTGACCTAGATCCCATAGTGGACTGGTTTAAACAAAGGAAAAGTAATTTGAACATCAATAAAGTGCTGCAGCGAGTACTTCTCAATGCAAATTTACGAATTACCTTATCAGCATAACATCTATGAATATTTGTGAACATGCCCTGCGCTTATAAGTATTTTGGTGTTCATTTTACGAAACCATTTTTATGGAACGAACATACTGACACGACCATAGCAAGATGTAGTGTTATCTTGATGAAACAAATGCAAAAATACATACACTCAGAGAGGACACAGACAAGCGCTTACTAGCAACTGAAAATTTTATTTCGAAGCGAACTATAATAAATACATCACACGCATGTACGTAATTCTCGACTTCCCCTGTCATCATCAACAACGTGATACAACAAAATATGCACGCGCCGGAAACCGGAAACAAACATGTGTCAATAACTAAGAAAAGAAAATGTGAAAAAAACAGAAAAAGCCAAAAAGAACAAAAAAACAAAAAACGTAACACAGCGAAAAACACGTCGTTATGTGACGTCCAAAAAAGCAAATTCCGCATCTGTTAGTAGAACTGACGCTTGGTTGACGCAACTGTCCCCTCCTTTCCTTATTCTATACGCTTCCAATATTTCTCTCATCGTCCGCTTGTTGTGCCTGTCAGTTATTCATGTGTCAGAAAATTTCGGTTGGCAGCTGCACTTCTTGCAGTGCATCACTAAGTGTGAGTAAGGGGCCCCTTTACTGAACGCTCATGTTCACGAAGGCGCACAATTATGCACCGACCCGTCTGACCAACGTATTCCTTTCCACATGTGAAAGGAGTTTCTTATACAACATCTTTTTTGCACTCAACGTACCTCTTATGCTTTATGCTACATCTATTCGTTTCTCTAGTTCCTTTATGATTGACTAGCCTTTCTACTGCTGGACAAATCTTTTATAATTTGTTTTCAGCTGAAAAAACAGCTCACGCGCCATACTTTAACGCAACTTTTTTCAACCTATGTGAAATATTGTGCAGGTAGGCGATGACCACTGTCCGCTCTCTTTCATCCTCAACTTTTCTCCTCTCTTTGCTTGTGCCAATGATTGCATTTTTAACTTCCCGGCGATTCTTCTCACATGCCAAAAGGATACATTCATCCTGGTAACTAGCTTCCCCCAAGCGCTTGATCTGCGTAGAAACACTCTCATTCATTGAGTGTACGCACCATTTCATGAGGGAAGCTTTGACGCAAGAAGTTGCAATCCCAGTGTGTACTATCTTCGAATGTGCCGAATGATAGCTCAGCAATAGTTTTTCCAACCTAGGGTGATACATCCGTCACGTGCGAAAAGGAGACAAATGAATTTTAGGTCTACAAACTGAATGCGTTGCTCCTTTGGCACCTCAAAGGTAAACTGTAAACCACACCCGTTTTTCCTAAACGCTTTTAAAACAGTCACTAACGTGCTCATACCCAGATCGTTTTTTACCAAAACAACCTAGTCATCTACAAATCTGAACAGCTTCAGATCCATACCATCTAGCTCCTTACCTACTGCTTTGTCAAGTTTTCTAAAAAAAACATTGCACAATATCGGGGAGACACTAAACCCACTGCAAATCCCATCCTTCAGGACGTACGTTTCTTCATTTCACCCCACTACCATGGAACTCAGATACATGGCCGAAATTTCCATAAAATCTTCTACAGACACACCACAGGTGTTACAAAAAGCCACTTCATCATTTTTTTCCGTGAAGCGTACAAGAGTGCATCACGGGAAAAAATGATGAAGTGGCTTTCTTCAAATGATGAGGCGTCTCCTGTATGTAGTGGCCAATTCTCGTTTTAGTCCTTTCAGTCCTTAGACTGTCCGCCGAATGGCGGTACTTGTATATGATGAATATATGATAAAAAGATGCGAGATATTCGTACTTGAAGTGTTCACTAGATGGATGGATGGACGAACGGACGGGCAGACTTATAGACCTATGGACGGACAGGCAGACAGACGCACATCGAATGGATAAACGGATGGGTGGACGGACACACAGACA